ACTCCCTGTGCACGCGACACGAATGTGACTTTATCATCTGTTGGATCATATCATTTATCTGCACTCAAACATTGCTCAAACGAAGTCAATCAAGCGCTAGTGAAAGTTAATGATCAGTTAAGCATAGTCAGGAGCAGAAATAAGAGTAAGCATGTTATAAATACTAGGCGCAGGGAACTGAATAAGCCGTGAGGCTTGAGAGATAGAAGATAACTGGATAACTATAGATACTGGCCTCAGAGAAGGCCTTATATACTGTGTACTGTAGTAAATATTACTAAGGTGGTCCGGTACATACAAAGTATCAGTAACCGGATAAGTAATGATTAATAAGTACAGTTGGAGTTGTATCATATCCAATTGGTGAAATACAACAAAGCAAGTACTAGATTACTGTACCATTTCGAGCAGTTCGTACGTCACAGGTCACACCCGTTTCCGAAAACCCCGCCATTATTTTTCTTTCGAATTTTGAGATTTTTTTGGATTTAATTTTTTGGGTATTTACATCATGTGAGTACGAACTGATCGAAATGGTACAGTAACAGGAAATACTATAAGATGAACAAAAGATGAAGGGGCAAGATGTGACCCCAAGTACATTTGTCTTGTAGTCGGGGATTGCTGCGCAGCAGCGTTAAGGAGTACGACCGCACGTACATACATACGCATCAAAAATCGATGGAAACAATTAATCAGCGGCACTATGCCGTCTTTACTGTTCAACAGCACATAGAGCAAGGGGGAAGTATCACTAAGATAAAAGTACTATATAACAATGATGTATTAGTCTGTAGTGTCCCGTATGTACAATATCTAACACCAGTCTCAAATAATGAGCAAGCTGTCTACCAATCTACAGGAGTGCAATACTTAGCATAACCCCTGGCGTGACCTCTGAAATATGTAGCATAACTTTTTACTACAATTAGCGTGGGCGTAACCTTTGTGCTATTTAGCGTGACCTTTATTATATTTGGTGTAACCCTTGTGCTATTTAGCGTAACCTTGTACTACATTTAGCGTCACCCTGGCATAACCTTATGTACATTTAGCGTCACCCTGGCGTAACCTTATGTACATTTAGCGTAACCTTGAAGTGTCCTTTGGTAGATTTAGCGTGACCATTGCTATATTGTGCGTGACCTTTGCTACATTTAGCGTAACCTTATAACATACTTAGTGTGACCTTTCAAGGACTTAGCACAAACTTGGAGGTTGTAGTTAGCACAACCCTGTCATTGGAGCTAATGGACCCCATCGTTAGCACTGTCTCATGTAAAATAACTAATAAAGAGATAGTGTGTATTCAAAGCTAAGTAGATATATAATAGAGGTGTATGGAGGCCAAAAGAACTTGTCAAATGAGGGGTAATCAACATAAAGATAGCCTGACCATAAATCTAACAGGCGTAACCCGGCGTCACCCAGCGTCACCCCCACGCTAGGGTGACGCTAAATGCTAATGGCCCCTCCGCAAGAAAGTTATTGGGGAGCACCACCCTCATACATTGACTTCGAAGGGTAACCTTGCTTGTACATATTATTCACTTGCAAAGTTTGAAAGTGCACAGAAGTTGGAAGAGGAGGTGCTTATGCTCCACAAAAATATCAGTGGGAAGCACCACCCTAATACATTGACTTCCATGGGCCACCTTCCCTCAATGTATCATGCACTTGGGAAGCTGGAAAATGCACAGAAGTTGAAAGAAGAGGAGATTCTGCTCCGGGAGTCAATGCCTTGATCTGATATTGGGCAGGGACCGGTAGTTTCATTACTGTTTTATACACTGTGGGGGGCATCAGAGGTGTAGGGCCTTTTTGCCCCTCACTGACTCCACAAAGCTTCCACACTCCCTTGGGTCCTCCACCCACCACATTCACCGCCAACCCATCAGTAGAATCCCTGACTCAAATTTGAACTTTGAAACCCAGTATTACTCTTTCAAACTTGATGTTATTTACTAGGCCTAGTAAATAACATCAAGTTTGAAAGAGTAATACTTCATTGAAGTGTAATAGCTATGTAACTAGTTATTTTCCAGACTTTCGCGTCCACTGCTTGTCTGTGTCAACTCCTGAGTCAAAGATCCAGAATCTAGATTGAAGAGGATCGCCGATACGTAGGCTGTAAGTAGGGCACTGGGTCCCTTGTGTGCATCAAGACTATCAAGGCAAAGAACTTTTTGAAATTCAGACGTCGGCAATGCTCGGCTGAGCTCGGCTTTGAAGGTATTTAGGTTCTTGAGTTAAACGTGAGGCCGGGCTTCAAACGGTCCCTCAAATTAAACGGGAAGTCTGTAATCATAGCTCGTCCTCCGACTATACTTACCAGCTAGTACTGGTACTGTACCGGTATATATCCTTCATTTCGTAATTGTTAATCTTTTCGTCTGATTGTCATCGAAAACCTGTGGTTGTGCGGTAGTACTGAACTCTGCACTGTCCTTAATTGCAAGCTTTCGTTCCCGCCTTCATCTCATGAATGAAAACCGCTTGAAGTCTTTTCTCTTTATGTAAGGCAACTTTCAGTTTTTCGGGTTTACTTTCATTTGTGGCTGAGGGAAGCGAAATCAGGTATGTGCGGTAGGCGGGAGCTGTGAGCTTCAAATGTTTTTCTTGGCCTTCTTTGCCGATGAAATACTGTGGTCCACCAGCTGAGCTGATCCCAACCGACCCTTACTGGCTCACTTTTCCGAGTCAATTTGAATAAGGGTGCCATGTGGTGTTGCGGCACATCAGGTTGACCTGACCACCACTTTCATGCCTGCTTTGTCAAGCGCTTAAGCAGTGCATATATTCCCCAATTCACAAGACGCAAGAACATCTCAGGCGGGTTTTCCATCCGATTCGCAGAACCATCAGGAAGCCACCTCGACAGACTCATCTGTGTTGCTAAAGCTTTCCTTCGCGGTACCACTACGAAAGGAAAGCGAAAAGTTTTGCGACTTTTCGCTACTATAATTGGCTATGTATTGCTGACACTGACAATGGGGCTAGTCTCCCTAGGCAGATCGTGTAAATCGTTACACAGACAGTCCCTATGGATGTGTGGTACGATGGAAAATGAATGCAAGAACGTTAAGTATAATAATCAGCCCATCATCTTGTTACAGGCTTATATTCATAGGATGGTATGACTTTTGAAAACTGTCCCCAAGAGCAATATTAAGTCTGGTACACCAAAATCAAAATCAAAATCAGCTATACGCTATACCACAGATGGAAGGACTTCCCAGACGTGTGGGGAGTTGAATTCCGATACAGATACACGACACTATATAGCGTTCCTCTTGCTCTATACTCCAGCAGCAGCAAGAAAGCTTGCAAAGTTGGGAGTACCTAAGCCTGTGACAGGGTCCCCTACAAAAAGGCAAAAAGGCGTCACCTAGATTCATCGAGAAAAAATAGGATCTTACATCCAGCTTTGGCAGGGAAGCCATTGGTTCCACCTAACAAGCGAGAATAATTAACTCATGAGCTTCAATGTCCAGATCCAGACTGCATCTACTCACATCCGGGGTTGTCACCTTGAAGAAAGGTTAGGATAAGAAATAATATTTTAGTATAAAAAGTCTCACCAGTTATGATGTCAAAGAGTGCACTAGGGTTTGCGTACAAGCTAGGAGTAATCGGTGAACACCTGAGATACAGAGATGGCTTGAAACACTTGCAATGGATTCAAGAAGCCAAGAGGCGACTTGCCAGCGGCAACAAGACGGCTGAGATAATTGTGAGTGACTGTATGATAGTGATCGGCTACTTATGTAGTTACTTACTCGTTAATCAATGCGATAACACTGGCAAAAATCGGGCTGGCACAAGAGGTACCATCAACAGTACTAGTCGCACCTAGGAAAAATTAAAGTTGAACCACTGGCAGAACAGAATTTAACACACAGCTTTCACGCACCTCCGTTGACGATTTCAAGATTGACGCCTTGGGCAGCAACATCAGGGTAGCCACGACCATTTGTGGAGAAGCGACCAGCGTTGGTGGTCCCAAGAGCAGTCAAGTAGCTCGCAACAGCTGTTGTCTGGTAAGAAGGCTGGAGGAAAATGTTGGAAAAACCGCCAGCAGAGAATGACGCAGCAGTCTCCGATACACCTTGGGTAGCACCAACAGAGGCTGGCAAAGTTTTTAAAAAACACTCAATAATACAATGGCAAGACGCACTCAGAAAAGGACATCCACTCGGGAATGTTGGAATGAAAATGTCGCAACTTTGTGATTGACTCCCAGACTTGTTTTCAAAGGAAATTAATAAATTGTAATAAGTTTCTGAGTGAGACTCACAACACCACCGTCGCCTTGTCATCAATTAGTAGTTGTACCAACGCAAAGTGCCTGAGCTCACCCACCAGATGCAAAAAGAACAGAAACTCCTCGAGTACCTACAGGATTCTCATTAATTTTCATGATCAATCTCGAGATTTAATGTGCATCACCAAAATGTCCAAAACAATATAACACTTTACATAGGTTTATAAAAGTCTGGAATAATTTTGTGGCATGATAACAAGATTATCCTTTGATATTATAATGAGAAGGAGTTATCATGCTCATCATGATTCTGAGAAGGTATAACAGCCTTGTCACAATGATATGCATATTATAATGTGGTTATCATACCCTTGTCACAATTATAACTGGTTATCATGCTGTTATCATGATCACAACTGATTATAAAGTACATATCATGGTGCTAGCTGAATGATCCAAAAACTGAAGTGAAAAGGGCGAGAAAAAGTAAAAAAAGGGTCGGGAATGATTAGGTGAAGTTAAAAAAATTTGGCCCCTTTCCCTATATATTAAGCAAAAACGTAGATCCTAACAAGCATGCTCTGGCGTAGTGGTAACGCGTCTCAAGTATATGGTCTAAAGCGCTCTCTTAGCTTGAGGTCGCGGGTTCGAACCACGCCGGTATCATTTACCTCCACTTGTGTTTGTGACCTTGCTGCTGCATTAAGAGTCGTATTATGTAATACCCGACCTCTTTGTATTATTTTTGGCTTTTTAATTTTTCTTATTTTGCCCTGGCCATGATCAACCTCACAATGCATGATAACCCTCACCATGCATGATAACCCCTACCATGCATGATCATCTGAAGTCACTGTGACAGAAAATGATAACTCATGATGGGCATGATCAATGGGGGGGAGTAGCGTGTTAACTCAGGTATCATACCCTGCCATGAGTGGTGGGGCTGATGCCAGATTCCAGAGAATATAATGAGTATATATTGTTTCAGACATTTTAGTGATGTGGACACATACCTGCGATCATATATGCATCGCAAAGCTGGTTAGCCTGAGTGGCAGTGATATCAGGCTCGTCAAAGCCATAGCTAAGGAAAGTTAACCATAGTATGAATCAGGTATGAATCCCACAAATGTATGAACACACCTGGTCGTAAGCACCTGTGAACCAATACATCCAGATCAGTGATATTGGTGCGAACTAGTAGCTTGACTTACATGAGGCGGCGAAGTTTGTCCGTTAATATTGTTCATGATATCAAGAAAGCCATCCATGCCATCGGGGTTGTTTTCGCCAACAGAGATGAAAATCACAGGTACTCCATTGGCCACGCCAATGGTATACTTTAGAAGAGTTAGTGGAAGTAACTCTATATCAAAGGTGCCATATGGCGAACCTGTGTATCCAAATTCTAATATTTTATACTTGAATGAAATCAAGTGGAATAAGGAATGTTAAAGATTAAGCTTACAGCTTCGAGACCAGCGTCCCCGGCACTTTGCGGGTCTGATCCGTCATCTAAAGTTTGTAAGTTCCAAGTGGTTGTCGATGCAACATCAGTGGCAAATGTTGTCAGGAAGCTCTTCAAATCTGCAGTCTTCAAACAAGTTGTCAACGAAAGACAACAAAAGATCTGAGTATGCATATATGGCATCTCACCTGAGGCCATTCGTTATCAAATCCAGATACAGCAAGTGTACTTGATGACTGAGTAGCTTTGGTGTTTGGGATTCCATACAACTCCTGCAAACAGGTAGGTGTGACGCCGGCCGTGTTACAGGAAGAGATAGTACTGAGCACTCTGGCAGTATTGTTCGATGAGCTAGCCGGGACTGGAATGTGGAATTTTGGGCCTTTCGATACCCTTACGAAATCGGTACTGGGATGAAGCAGGTTGATGTGTGGCTGCAAGTCGGCAGGAATAGAGTATGCCAATGTCCTGGTTAGCTGGGTCTGGCCGCCAATTTCGGTGAATAGTCGAAAATCAGCTTCAAAGAGCGAGTTGGCGGTGGAGATGGGAACAGAAAATGCCAACCAATCATCGAATGCACCGGTGGTAGTAATGTTTGTGATACCGTTCTCGTTCAACCAGGAAGTGACTGCTTGTATGGTATCGGGGTTTGGACCTGCAAAGGTTTTGGCCTAACGTCTGGGTTGATAAACAGAGCTAATATACGAGTTGGGATACATACCTCTTCAAAGCTCAAGTGCTGGCCATACAAAGCATTTCCGGGTGTACTGACATCAAATAATGCCTGTTCCAGACTATCCCTGTCCGCCGCAGTGAGAGCGATCTTCAAGTTCAGGATTGTGTTAGGGTTTGGAGCGCCGCCAGTTGCAAAATGAGCAGGGAGTTCGCGCGAGTCGAGTACAACCATCGAACGGCGATTTGGGAGACCAGACACCATGGAAGTAATGAGGGCAGCGAGAAGTGTGGTGTAATAAACGAGGCAAATCATGATGCCAACTACAAAACTGGTGGGGGGGAAGACTATTTGGGTATCCACGGACCACAAAGCCTTTTATACTTTCTTTCTGCCAAATAAACAATCCTCGAGTGCGACAACAATCCATTGACGATAATATATGATGATATATTGACCGAGTATGAAAAGCACGATGGATCTGCGCTGGATAAGTCTGCAATCGCATGAATCGTGGACAAATGAGAAAATAATTCTACTATTGATGCAGCTTTTGTCTGTGAAAATTTCTTCAGCAAGCTTTGTATACTCAGTCTTGTCGACCGAGATACCGTGAGCGCCATATCTGGAATCAAGCGACGCGTGAGTAACACATCTCCTTGCGCTTGACTCGAGAGCGCTACACTACGCGACAACGAAGAATAGGCTTGAAAATAACAAGCTTTGGTACATTTGCTGATCCCGTCAATATTCGTAGTTTTCCATGTGATGAGAGGTGATAAGATGTACGATAAGAGGAGATAAGATGTACATACTTATACGCTGAAGAAATCTTCCAATATTCTCTGTTGTAACCAGGCTGGCATATAACAAGCTTTGATATATGTGCTGATTCCGTATCGCCGACATTAACAGCCTCCGTGTGACGAGGATAAGATACATACTGCAGTAGTTTTCTATTGTGACCAAAATTACCCGAGTTAGCGAATAACATATGAGTCGAAGTCAAAAGAAAAGAACAAACCTTCTCAGAAATCGAGAAATGGAGCCATACTGCTCTCAGATCATCTAATGCATTGGGCTGGATGTGCGTCAAGTCGTCAAGCTACCCATAACAACGGAATCACCGATTTCCGTGATACTGCCCATCTTGTCGCTGGTTCCGGTTACTATAATTGTCTACACTTCATTGTTACTATACCATGACGGTGACTGATGGGATTGCACCACCAAGAATCAAAGCTTGTGCAGAACGCTAGAGAGAGCAACGGGGATCTGAGCTAAAGGCAAGCCCGACCATCCCGACCATCACTCAATGTCTAAAAGTCCCTGCATCGATACTGACAACAAAGAAATAATGACTGACGTGCCTTATTGATGTCCGATGCTGATATGAACGGTACTTACTAGTAGTACTGTTGATCTCGCACTCAGAATTCAGTCCAAATCCCAAAATCAACTCGATGTGTGCCGTCGCATGAACAATAATGAGTGAAGGTGAAAGACTTGTGCAAGTACATACCGGATCTACTAACGGTATAGCTGCTTTGTTCTCGGGATACTCGATGTCATCTATCATCCCGTCTGTACGTACCACCCACTGCTATGGGAATTTGTACACGTTCGGAAGGATAATCATCGTGATTTCGTGATAGTCAAGCGATAGTGATGGAATGAATGGTTTAATTTGCGCAAAGGCGATGGAAGTAGTTCATCTTGCCCAAGAGCAATTGTTGCCACTTGGGGCGACCAAACGATTTGAGAGAAAGGTGTAGAACTTCTATGCGCAAGCAACAGTGCAAGTCCATACCGGTTACAAGATGGTATTGACGACAAAACCTGAGATTTGGAGGTTAGAAGCGTTAAAAAAACAGGTTTTGAAAACTTACTGGCAATCAATAGCAAGTTCAAAAGATCTTTATCAAGGAACGAGGCTTTGTTTTAACTTACACATACCACAATCTCCAAATGCGAAGCAACGACCACCATTTTCATGCCTGCCTCGTCAAGTTGCTTAAGCGGTGCATAAGTTCGCCTGTCTGGATCTCGATTCACAAAACGCAGGAACACCTCACACGAGCTTTCTATCCCATTTGCAGAACCCTCGGGATACCTGGCATATCGACGAAATCTTTGTCGCTAAAAGCTTTCCTTCGCGGAACCACTACGAAAGAAAGCAAGAGGCTTTGTAGCTTTTACACTAACGTTATAGAACTAGTGTTCGATTCATCGCCGAGACAAACACGTACGCAACCTTCGCGCGGGATCGGCGGTGATAGGGCTATTCTCGTGTATTCCGGGGTCGCTGACAGTGAGATAGGGTAGGGAAGGTAGTCGGATAAGAACCTGAACGAGATCCGAGTCAACTATAGGAGTAGATTTGATAGAGAGGGTTGTAAGATGCTTAGTGTGAGATGCAGACTCCTTCAGCTTTATTTGACACCGGGGTTCAATGTTTAAGTGCTGGCCGCCCTCGATATGCAAAAAAAGTCAGAGCAGGCCAAGTAATCGATGAAAAAACAGAATATCCCGGATTATCATGTGCAGAATAAATATAATGAGGGAGAATTGAGGAGAGCTTTGCCAGTACATATGCCTCGAGAGGTAGCATGAAATACCGGAAATGATCCCCTAGAGATAAAGAAAAGCGCAACTCTTCGAGGTCGTGGCGTATCTCGAAGATTTCCTGCAACCTAGAGTGTCGGTTTCCAGGAAGATCAACAACCACGAGTTACTTCCGAGGGAAATTGAACGTAGATAAGTTTCGGACCGGAATCAAGAGCAACGATAATGTGTGCAGTGTAGTATCGAGCCATCCCCCGCTAGAAGATGTGACGCTTCCAAAGTGCAAAATGCAGCTTGCTTCATGTGACTGCTGCCGGATACCAGATCAGGGTGTGCAAATTCTGGTGAGATACGCTCATCTGAACACTATTATAGGCGGGAAAGAACAACGACGAACGGTTACGAAAGCAACGTGATAGTTCTCAGCTTTGACCGAATAAGCGCTTACCTTGACCATGGACCACAACAATACAATGTTGCGAAACCTACGTGGCCATTGTAGTATCTCCAAATTCCAGCCTTTTTCAATCACTTCTCTCGCCTCTCTATATATATCACACATCGGTCCAACTGGTCAACTGCACGACGTACACTTGGTTAGCGTCCCTAAACAAGATTGGAACAAGATCGGAGATGATATTGTAGCATCGCTGAGGTCTTCAGAAGGAGGCGTATACAGAAGCCGAAGCAATGAGCAAAGAGAGGCGCGCCGCGGCGATGATCTGTAGATTGTAGCAAAGGCAAGTTGGTCTTTTTGAACCGATATTCTGCGAAATCAAAGACATGTTTTTAGGGATAATACATAGGATGTACAGTAGGAAGAAACCGCACCAAAGCTGTTTATAACAGACAGAAATTCACCAGGCTTGCTTTTCGAATACCGACTCGGTTCCTACATTACTTTACATAACATTGCCACGCCGTCTTCCTGTATCGAGCCACGGCTTCTTCTCACCT